ATCTTGGGGAGGAAATACAATTAAATGATGATTATTAAAAAAAAAAATCCCCTGCCAGGGCTGGAGATATTGCAGGAATGTGATCAACCCCCCCATTCCCTTCCCAGCTGTAGCACCCTTCTCATCCCCTCTCCATCATGACTGCAATCAGGATGCATTCCCTTACCTTATAGAGGATGCAATGCTGTGATCAGGGTCCAGTCCTCTTGTTGCATCAGTTGAATCTTTTTTTTTTTTTTTCCTCCCCCTTTTTTTAATTAAAGATTTTAAGGATCCAAGCCTGCGTCCACCGGTGACAGAAGTAGGTCCCCTAAAGCCAAGAGCAGGAGAAGCTGGGCATCCCCCCACGTAGAAAATCCTTAGCAGTTTCGGTCCAGTGAGAGCAGCAGCAGCAGCAGCACCTCAATCACAGCATCAGCATCAGCATCAGAGGCTGTACCGGCTCCTCTGCAGGCCACATCTCTCACTGCTTCTACATCACTACCGCATTCCTCCTAATAGAGCCGCCCCACCAAGATGCTGCTACTTCTGCTGCTTCTCCTCTGTGCAGCCAAAAGGCAGCAGTAATGTCCCCCGAGGAGGGGTCTTGGCATCTAGCACATGCCAGGGCAAGCTGGCATCTTTTTGCTTTTATCCCCACTGAGGGCAAAAATATCCAGCTGGGCCAGATAGCGGATAACTCTAAGCCTCCCGTAAAAGGGGGGCAAGGGAGGGCTCTTTAACCCTTCCCAGCCTCAGCCGCTGCAGTAATCCAGGCAGTCGATGCTGGGGATTGGAAGATTTTGGATGCTTAAAGGGGTCAGACCATCCCAAATTGAAATTGCAATGTATGGTAGATGGCATCAAATTGAATCACCTCTCGGGGGGCTTCACGATGTGTTCCCGGCTTTGGCGAACAAGATTGCATGTGCTCCAGTTTTGATAAATTCCCCTCATGCCATGCATTTTGGTGCAATTTCACACACCTGAGATTAGGGATGCACCGATACCGATATTAGTATTGGTACCAGTGCCAATACTGAGTACTCGTACTACAAATGCTCCAATACTTGCCCCTGATACCAGAATGGAACATGGAGCCTGGTTGGCCAGCAAGCAGGCTCCATGCTGTTTGGCCAGCTCGATGCTGATTGGCTCGGAGGAAGACTTCCTGGCCAATCAGCATTGAGCCGGTCAAACAGCTGGGCTAATTGCACGGTAGGCTGGCTTCCCGGCCAATCAGCATGGAGCTGGTCAAACAGCATGCAGCATGGAGCCGGCTGGTTGCACGGAAAGCCAGTGAAAATACAGGTATCGGCACTCGGTATCGGCACTCGGTATCGGCACTCGGTATCGGCACTCGGTATCAGCACTCGGTATCAGCACTCGGTATCGGCGAGTACTGAAAGATATATATTGGTACTCGATACCAAAAAAACGGTATCGGTGCACCCCTACCTGAAATCACATGGGGCAGCAAGGTGGGATGGGGTGCCATTAGCAATGAATGGCACTGCGGTGCATCCTTCAAAGTGCCACATTTTGGGGTGCTTCTGCGGTGTGCGTGAAAACACGCATGTCTTTGCGCACATTGCTGCAGCACACAGATGTGAGTGGGGGCTTCCTAAAAAGTCAAATTGCTGTTTTTACGGCAAGGTCAAGTTCAGCAAAACTCGCCCTGCCGCCCCTAATCACAGACCAGCGCCTTCCGATATGTTACTGAATTTGGTTGAACGTTTTGCTATTTGCAATAAAAGTAACAAAAAAATTGCAAGTTCAGAAACATCTTCCTCACACTGTCCTCGCCCTGCGTTCCTGCGCAGTTAGCATGCGGTACATCGGCCTTGCAGTGACTTCTCACCGGCCGGCTCTGTGATCCTGTCAGTGGTCAGCGCAGGACGTGTATACAATCCTAGGATCATATATTCATTTTGGGAGAGGCGGAGGAGTGGAGAATTTGTATGCGGGCGCTCAGTGGATGTGCGGGAATTGCGCACGATGTACTCTCATCCACATGCGCCCCCTCCGACCAGACTGAATTCTGCCATTGTCAATCACGGTGGCATTTAAACGAAGGCGTCTGACCGCAGATGGCATATGGGGGGGTCCAATAATAATCTGCCGTGGCTGTTTATTAAAGTAGTTTGCTCAGTCTGCAGGAATTCCGGGCTTTATTTAAAGTGAACCTGTCACCATGGAGAGCTAATAAAACTAAGTGGATCTTCCAGTGGCCGGCATAAATACATTCCTAAAAGGTCGCAATGTACAGCAATTGTATCATTCTTCTGCTCCTCCTCTATTCATTAAAAAGGCATCCCTGAGCCCCAGTCAGCGACTATGCCTAGGCTGAGATGATGTCATCAGTCTGCTGCAGGCAGGAGGAAGCATTTCCTCAGTCTCCCCTCCCCCAGTGATCAGTCATCACTGTGCTGTACATAGCCTGTGCAGAGAGCAGAGCTGTGGGAGTTGCCCAGCAGACCCCACCCACAACTGAAAACTAGAGGAGGGGGCGGAGACAAGACCGTCACCCTGCACAAGGAAAGAGAAAAGCAGTGACCGGTCTTTATTACAGGAGGGGGCGGAGACAGGACCAGTCAACCTGCAGAAGGAGAGAGAGCAGCAGTGAGCGGTCTTTATTACAGGATGGGGAGGAGACAAGACCAGTCAACCTGCAAGAAGGAGAGAGAGCAGCAGTGACCGGTCTTTATTACAGGAGGGGGCGGAGACAAGACCAGTCACCCTGCACAAGGAAAGAGAGCAGCATTGACTGGTCTTTATTACAGGAAGCTCCAAGGCTTGCACAGATCTGGAAGAACACACATGACTCTGGTATGAGGACACTGATTGGGATAATAATGGGATCCTCCGTATTTTGTTGACTGCCGAAACTTTGTTCTGTGCTAGTTTTCTAAAATAGACAAAAACACTTCACAATGAGGACAAAATGATTGATTCGTCTTTGCTGCGCGGTAAAGATCCGGCTCTTTAAATAACCTCAAAGCCGCTTCATATTTACTCCGTCCTGTAAGTTCACCTTCAAAGAACGAAGAAACAACGTGTCATTGGCTCCGATGTGTCCCACGCAAATGCTGCGTAGTGGTAAAACTAAATGTAGGCAGTATAAGTACCTGAATGTGACCTGCTATCAGCTTCTTGTAGTCCCTGTACAGCTGGGTTGGAATGTGAGGGGAACAAGCAGCACAAGGAGCCAGTCAGCCGACAAGAGAACGCTGATAGGAAGAGAGAGCAGAGAGATGAGCTCACCACTGGGCTGCTTCTCCTTCCACTGTCCAGTCACAGGCTGGAGGAGGACATGGGTTGAATGATGCCGGACATGACTGAGGACATCTAGTGGCTGAAAAAAAGTACTGCAGGGGAAATTGCTGAAGCTGTACATACGTTAATGTTATTTCCAATTTTTGTGGGAATAATCCCTGGTGATCCTGCCCTATATGTCTTTGCTTGGGTACTTCCTGTAATAGGGTGACAACACTCTCTCCCTGTCTGCCAGTTGTGCTCCAGCCAGGAAATGAGGCGGAGCTCGATCTGACTTGCTGCAGCTTCTAATGCACATTGTGAGAAGCTCCCAGTGTGCAGTGACATCAGAGGAAGCCATTCCAGTCCAGGAGAGGAGCCGGTACAACTGTGCAAAAGAAGGGGAGGCTGGAGGTCAGATAGAAGACTGAAGGGAAGGACGGAGGTCAGATAGAAGACTGAAGGGAAGGACGGAGGTCAGATAGAAGACTGAAGGGAAGGATGGAGGTCAGATAGAAGATTGAAGGGAAGGATGGAGGTCAGATAGAAGACTGAAGGGAAAGAGTTCAGCTATAACCATTTTCCTCATCGGTACCCCCAACACATTTGCATGAAAAACGATGTATATGTTGGACATCTGTGTTCTGAGGGGTTCAAGTCATAAGATAATGCTACGCTCTCTTCCCCACCCCGGGGCGATGGAAGACCCCAAAATCTGCTGCGATCTGCTCCCCCGCCCCCGGGGACACGGGGCTCTCTGATGTGTGACTCTCTTGTCACTTAAATCAAGTTTTAAACAGTTTTCATTTCATTTAACAGCTTTGGGAACATGCGTGAAAGCGGGAAACAAATGAGAGCTACAGAGTCTGTGAAAAATGTCATTAATTAAAGTTAATTTGTGAAACAGACGCCTCCCATTCGGGAAGACGCGGCTTGTTTTGTGCGTGGGATTACGGAGATCTGTGATGGTGCGGATAAGAGCGAGCCGCGGTCACATTTCGGGGGTCTCATCTGCAGCCTCTGGCTCCTCCAAGGGGGCCCCATGTCACTGGTTCTTATAGATGATAAACAATGATGGGGGAATACATTGCAAGTGTTCAAGAGATACGACTTTATATTAATCAAAATATAATATCTGTATGTATTGAATATGAATACATTGAATATACACTATATTGCCAAACGTATTGGGACGCCTTTACACGCACATGAACTTTAGTGGCATCCCAGTCTTAGTCCGTAGGGTTCAGTATTGGGTTTGCTCCGTCCTTTGCCGCTATAACAGCTCCGCCTCTTCTGGGAAGGCGTCCACAAGGTTTAGGAGCCGGGCCGTAACTAGAAATCACAGGGCCCCATAGCAAAATTTTGTATGGGGCCCTGTGATTTCTAGTTACGCCCACCTGATAACCCAAACAGCCCACCTAAGGGTGACCCTGCAGAGCCCACCATAAGCATTGCACTTGGTGATGTGCGGCTTGGATGCAGCTGCTCGGCCATGGAAACCCATTCCATGAAGCTCTCTACGCACTGTTGTTGTGCCAATCTGAAGGCCGCATGGAGTTTGGAGGTCTGTAGCTATTGTCTCTGCAGACAGTTGGCGACTTCTGCGCACTGTGCGCTTCAGCATGCTCTGACCCCGCTCTGTCATGTGACGTGGCCGACCACTTCCTGGCTGAGTTGCTGTTGTTCCCAGTTGCTTCCACTTTGTTGTAATACCAGTAACAGGTGACCGCGGAATATTTAGTAGCCAGGAAATGTCACGGAACACCTGAATCCAATGATTTGGAGGGGGAGGGGCCCAATACTTTTGGCAGTATAGAGTATATGAATATATTGAAGTCCAATTGAACTTTTAGTTTTAATACATTCCAGGTGCATCAAAACATAAAATTGGTTTTCTTGAAAAAAGTAGCCAGAGCCTGGGGAGAAAAGCCTTTTCCCTGCATGTTGAGAAGGACTCTTGCTCTCTGTGTGGAAGCAGCGGTCTCTCTGTAGAGCGCCAACACGCCCCATGCTAAATCAGGGCTAAAGCTTACCAATCAGCAGGGAGATTGAGTTTTTCACATTGCAAAGCTTTAGGTCTGACTCAGCAAGGGGTGTCTGCAGAGAGACTACTGCTTTCACGCAGAGGGCAAGAGTCTTTCACTACACCAAGGTGGCAGGGGACAGGCTTTTCTACTCAGGCTGTGGCTGCTTTCCAAAGAAAATAAACTGTAAGAATTTCTTTTGATGTTTCACAAATATATTTAGCTTATTGGAAGTGAAAGTTCTATTGGGGTTTTAATAATAAGTGGCAGCGGCACTCCCTATAAAGAAAGAAATAGCTACTAGGAATAATG